TCGATATTCCTTGAGAGATGGTGACAAGGCAGGCCATGTTAAGGAAAACAGAAATAAAAACATCAACACACAAAATACATACAACTGGTCAAAAAAGGAATGTAATCGTGGTATAATACTTGGCCAGAAAATTAGCAATATTTACTTGTTATAGTAATGTAAACCCCAGCTATTAATTTTTAACTTTTAGAATCTACCTGTATAAAAAGGACATAGCATCAAGTCTGAAAATGTAAAATTAAAAGCTGAGATGACAAGAGATGAGAGGTGATGAAGAGGGGCCAACTGAAGAGAAAAGCAAGTCCACAAAATCCTCATCCTCACGGCGGGGAGTTGAAAAGATACCTTCCACACTTGTTAGAACAAGAAATAGAGGTGTGAATATATTATTTAAAGATACAAAGGTAGTCAGAGCAATTAAAAATAGTGGTTTAGCTATGTTAGGAAGATGGAAAAGAAAAAGTGGCAGGTATGTGAGCTAAAGTATCACCTATCATAACAGAATATCAAGAGTATATCTACATAGATGAATCTAGAAATAATTTCTATGATTTTGAGATTATCAGAAGAAACAGCTAAAATAGAAGAGTATGCTTCTAGAGAGTGGGACTGCCAAGCTGAAGGAACAGAAAAGGTCGATGTTATTTATAAGCTTCTGTAACACTTGAAAGTCTTGCTTCTTATTAGTTTGATAAAATGTACATGTGTGAGAGTTGCAAAGGTTTAAGCTACAGAATACCCAGGTATGAATTTTACACCGTAGACTAGGATGCAAGAAATTCACATTTTCTCCTCTAAAAAAAGTTAACCTGTTCCAAGATCCCATCCTACAGGTGGTCAGGAATTCAACCTCAGTGGTTTGCAAAGACCCTCCCCCCAGGCCCGATGTTGCACAGGCCCTAAGGGCACACGAAGCCTTCAGCAGTCACAGTCTCCCTGGCGTTAGGTCCATCCAGCTGGTTGTCAGTAAGCTCATCACCTAACCCCTCAGCCCTCTAGAGGCAGAAGCAGTAACCCTGTGCACTTCTACCTCATAGAGTGCAAGCCTTTGATTTTTAAAAAATGAAACGGAATACATTTAATAGAAAATATAAGAATGCACAGTGAAAGGATAAGTACTGTTACCTAACCCTTTCCTTTCTCGTGTGTGTTCATGGACTCCTGTGTGTGTTTTTTTTACTGACCCTGAACAATGCTCCTTACTGACTTCTTTTTCTAAACATCTTGTCTAGTTACAGAGCATTCAGATAATGGCCTAGCTTACAAGCGCAGTTTTGCGACTGCTGGTTCCAACAAAGGCTTAATCTAGTTCAGGTCACCTCAACATTAAGACCTATAATATCGACAGATAAAACATAGATGAGAGAAAGAACCCAAGCCTCCTAGGTACCCTAACTGTGCTGAAACTAATCAGGACAATCCAGGTCAGGTAAAGGCAATACGTGCAGAAGGCCAAAAAAGAAATATTTAGCAAGAGATGAGTTTTCAGGATTTATTACTTTTGCTTTTAGTACAATTTTTAATAATGGCAAATTTAAAGACAATAATGAATCATAAACCATTGAAAAATATGAATCAATGAGTCCAAGTAAAGCAAGTAAATAGAAAATTGAATAAGGCAGGACTCTTGCTCAGAGCAGAATTCTAAGGGCCAGGAGTAGGGGAGTGTCCACTTCTATAAAAGGAGAAGGACTTGAGGATCTCCTGTGCTTTTCAACCTCTACCATTTTTCCTTCTAACTTTATGTGCTTTTAAGGTTATCTGTAAAATCTTTTAAATGAAACATGTTATTACTGAACAATGGAATGGGGAAAGACCAATATCTAATAAACATTGAAAATAGTCAACACGTATTTGTTTAAACATATAGCATATAAATACAAACATATTATTTATGTATATATACATATATAGACACACACACATATATAACTGTAATCGTTAAGTAGATGACTGACCTGGATTGTAATCCATTCTAGTGAGTTATTGAACCTGAGGACAGTTGCAGAAACCCCCCGATTTGTAGCCAACTGTCATAAGTAGGGGTCATCTGGGGACCCCACTTGCAGTTGGCGTCTGAAGTGGGGCAGTCACGTGGGACTGAGGCCTTTACCAGGTGGGATCTGAGGCTACTCGAGACAGTGTTAGGATTGAGTTCAACTGCTGGACACTCAGTTGGTCGGAAAACTGGAGAACTGGGGTGGAAAAATGACACATACTTGGTGTTAAAAGAAAACCATTACAGATCCAGGGAGTGCCCCTGAACTGAAGGCCAGCTTTGGTGGGGTGGGGACACTTTCAGATAACCTAGTCTCCTCTGAATACGCCAGATCACAGAAAAGCAACACTAAGAGACACCTGAGAAATCGCCTCTAATTTCTTCACAGAGACTAAACAGGTAGTGAGTCGTGCACAATTTTTAGATGTCTTGAGGTGACTATTTTGCAGCTTCCTAAAACGACTAATCATGCGTTTTCTATTGCCTACAGTGGATGTAATTCTTTCTACCCCAGGCTGATTAGGGAAGTGGTCAGAATAAACTACCAATAGGACTTTCTGCATCCTCTTTATACAGCCACACTTGGGAGGTTACACACGTTCTTCTCGCTTCTCAAGAAGGCATACCTGGGCTTCCCTGGTGGCGCAGTGGTTAAGAGTCCGCCTGCCAATGCAGGGGACACGGGTTCGTGACCCGTTCCGGGAAGATCCCACATGCCGCGGAGCGGCTGGGCCCGTGAGCCATGGTCGCTGAGCCTGCGCGTCCGGAGCCTGTGCTCCGCAACGGGAGAGGCCACAACAGTGAGAGGCCCGCGTACCGCAAAAAAAAAAAAAATAGCAAGCTCTATTAGGACCTCAAGATCATGAGATAGGCATATACATTACTATAATAGTGGTTAGGGAGTGAGAGATGCTACAGGTAGAATAAGCCTTACAAAACTGCATCCACAGAATCTAGAAAATCTGCCACAAGACTTCTAGAGCACACTATGACATGCGTAACTTGCAGTAGATCGCAGCTGCTGTTAAGCAGGAGCTTTCCAATGTGAGGTGCACCCTTTAAACATGAAGCACCATGGTGCCTCCCGTACTCAGGTGAAACTAAGTACCCTTCCTTCCAGGCAGATAAATGGGAGACAGATGCCCCAAGAGGGACAGAGTCTGGAGCAAAGCACTGCTTTCCAGCAGTAACAAAGACACTGAAATAGAAACAGGGCTTTACTTCCTACCCTTTCCTATCAAGACTCTGCCATCCTGTCTGGACCATTAACTGCATCCCTCTTCGACTGTCTTTCTGTTGTTAACAGCAGGTTTTAGTCTAGGTGGCCAAGCACTTGGTTGTAAGGTGTAGGGGTTCATGGAAATGCCAGAACTGCCACAAGGGCATTAGTATGTTTTGCTGCAGGTATTAAGACACCAGAAAATTACCAAGAGCTTTAAAACCTTGCCACTGAAAGCGTGTTCTGTGTACCAGAAGCATCAGCAGGGAGACAGAAATGCAGACTCTCAGGCCCACCCAGACCTGCTCACTCAACACTCTTCAGGCTGGGAAGAAACTCCCTCAGGTGATTCTTAAACTTGCTGAAGTTTAGGAAGTATTGTTTTACAAAACAAACACACTAGCATATCTTAGATATACTAGGGGTATGGTTAGTAAGAAAAATCTAGGTATTTATTCTTTCCTATTTAAGAATTCAATTGTTGAGTGTGAAGGTTATTCTGTTTTACCACCACAATCCTTGGTCAGCCCTCACTTCACATTTATAAATACAAAATATTTATGTCATGCCTTACCTACCCATGTGTCAGGAACCAGTAAGTCAGAAAAATAAAAAATGAGCTGCACAAATGTAGGCTATAGAGATTCATAATTATCTTACATCAAGTCAATATTTATGTACAGATTTTATCCTACAAGAAAATACACACATTTGCCAGAAGCAAGTCTGACATTTTAGCAAGTGTACATTTTAGATTTCTACCATAAGTACTCAATACATATGTGTATATATGTAAACGTGTATATATGTGTATAGGCACACTATATATGAGTGCTTGTGCAAACACAAACATACACATGCACACATGCACGTAAACACACACACTTCTGGCCTTTAAGGAGCTACATAACTATCAAACGTAGCTATATGGTCTTCTTAAGAGCAGAGATGGCCAAGGCTTTATTTCCTTGAAGACATCAATTCATTCAAGGCTGAAAACAGTTATCAGTATTTCAAAAATAGAAAATCTGTTATCATCACTATGAAAACAGACTTTGCTCTCTGAACCATGGATCCCCAAACTGAGGAATACTGCCAAACAATACCAGTTAGACACCTGTCTACCTTACTTGCTAAGAATCAGAGGACACCTACCAAATGTGTGCTGCTATACAATTTTTTTTTAAATATTAGAACTTGAGAAATAAAGTTCAATAACTAAACACTCAATGAACAGATTAATAGTTTTATAAATAAAACTGAGAAGAGACTGTCTCAATTTTATACCAGTATTTTTTTTAAAAGGGAAAGAAGACAAGGCACCTTTTCATCTCACATTTAATTATCAAAAAAATTCTTTAAAATATTTAGAACTCCAATGTTTATGACAGTATAACAAATTATAGTTTACCTGAAGAGGAGCTCTCACTTTAAAGGTTTTAACCATGATTTTCAGGAAGCTATTTCAAGTAGCACATAAACTTGTATATAGGTCTGACTACCTACTTACACCTTCAGTGTTTAGGGACAAAACTCCTACCCCAACTTCAAGCTCTCTCTCACTATCTCTACCATCTTTTACTTGCTGTTTCTTCCTCCATGATGGCAAAACACTGATCTGATAGAGGAGTACTCAGAAAGTGCAATATTCCACTGTGCCCTTTAATTTCTCCTGTAAACCAAAATATAAAGGATTGAAGGAAGGAAAGAAGGGAAAAGAACCCATTATTTTTTAACCACTAAAATTTGACAAATATCTGTGATGGAAAAAAGAGAAATTTGTCTATTTTGAAATTATTTTAATTTACAAATAGAAAACATCTTGGAAGAAAAAAAATGAAAGAAAAACACAAAACATATAGGCAAATTTTTAGTCCATGAGCGTCTCAAATCCTCACTTGTTCACCAATCCCCAAGATGAAAAACACTTTTCTAAAAAGGTATTCAGCCACCACTGTAAAAGAAAAAAAGATGGTCAATTTTGAGTGTACATAAGATTTTAATAAGAAGAAAAATTTGAAATGCAATATGCTGTAATTTTACGGAACCAAAACCAGTTATTTGAGAACCACGCCTACGTTACTCCAAAATAGCACAAAAGGGAAGAAACTGAACTTTAAAATCTTGGAACTGAAAAGGTCCTTACAGAGGACGTGGCTGCTGGAACAGGCTTAATCTGTTAAACCTCAGAATCCTCATTTGGAAAACATGCTTAACAGTCTAGCATAACATCTTTCTCAACAAGACGAAAAATATGAATTACATAACAGGGCGGTTAGTTGAGAACTTTTTCAATTTGATGTACAATCAGCCATTTGAAAATCAAGAGTGCAGAGTAGTAGGCTGGTTCTCAACCACTATATCTTCCCATAATCACTCAAAAACCTGGATTAATAATGAAAATAAAAATCACCTTTTCTACAGAAGACCTTCCAAGTTTCGAAAGCATAAACGTTAAAACTGTATACTGAGATATACATTTTAAAACTGTGATGTTAAAGAAAGAGAATAATTCCAGTACTAGATGAAAGTTATACTCCTAAAAGAAACACTCCTGCATCTATACTTTAACGTGAAGTGCTTTAAGTGCTTCTTATATCATTAAACTGTATTGCTGCAACTAAAATACCCACAACTATAAAACTCCTTTAAATTATAACCCTGTGGATATTAATTTTGACTGCTGTAATTGTATAGAAGAAAAAATTTCATCATAAGGAAAAACATGTGATAATTCAGCCTAGTGAAAGAGAAGCTTGTGTTTATACTTCACTTGCTACCGCCTCAAAATGATTTAAACAGTGATTTATGCTCTTTCAAGTAGGAAAAAAAGATCTCTTTTAGTTTTACAGCTGTCATGGCGTATCATGAAGAAACTTAAAGTTTTCTGATAGCTTTTCTCACAAAATGTTTTATTTGGCCTTCATTTTAATGTAAAAACTATCTAGAGATATATTTTTTTAACTCTTTAAACACTGAAAACAATTGTGTTACTAGAAGAAAAGTTTTCTAAGCAACTAGCTTCCAAAAGGTCATAGTTCAACAATCTCTGACTAGCAAGGTTGGCAAAAGATATATTGTGCCTGCTGCAGAAATAAGAATTAAGAGAAAGCAAATTTTTTTTTAATTTTCTTTTTTTTATTAGTTGGTCAGAGTTTGAATGCAAGCCAAGGTTTCTAAGAGGAAAAAAAAGCAAAGAGCAAGCATAAAAGTAAGGACATATTGTTTTTCTTCTCTGACTTGCTATCTGTAAGTTTCCCTGTGCCCTTCATTCTGGCAAAAATTAAAATTCATCTCAGTCAGGAAACACACACAGCATAGCACCTGTATAGTCTAGTGAGACCAAGGCAAAAGACCACTGATAACGTGCATTTTCCATGTAAAAGACAACTTCATTCAATGGATTTTTTATACTAAATAATGATAATTAATCCTTGGATCTAAGCACACTAATACCACATGCTGATTAATTATCCAGTGACAAATAATATTTACATTTTACTGGACGGAATCAACCTAACAGAAATAGCCTTGGCCGGTGAATAAATGGATCCTTTTTTCTCAAAAATTCAAATTATTACTGAACGTTTGTTAACTCCCTTGCCTTTTTTTTTTTAACATCTTTATTGGAGTATAATTGCTTTACAATGGTGTGTTAGTTTCTGCTTTATAACGAAGTGAATCAGTTATACATATACACATGTTCCCATATCCCCTCCCTCTTGCATCTCCCTCCCTCCCACCCTCCCTATCCCACCCATCCAGGTGGTCACAAAGCACCAAGCTGATCTCCCTAAAATAGATAGCTAGTGGGAAGGGAGAACACAAATCTTTAACACTTGTTTCAAAGACCTGTTGGGAACAACTGGACTAATGAATCTCAATCCCGAAAGGGTGTGCTAAGAGTGCACTGTCCTAAAAGGTACTTTAGGTCACAACTCAGATCATGAAATAAAAGATGTTTGAACACAAAACTAGGATAAATAACAATGATGAACAGATTAAAAATGCAAAAGTCTTCCATAACGGAATCTAGCAAAAAGGAATTTAACAAGGGGTAATGTTCCATTCTTAGGCTAAAAACAAACCACACCAACTATGTAAACCCAGGATAAAGGAAGTTTATTGTAGCCGTTATCTGTGAGAAACTGAAGATTTTAGCCTTTAGCAAGAAAACATCCACAGTAAGCACTGGATTCTAAGCACTGGATTTTAAGAGGGCTTAACGAAATGCAAACTGGAGCCTGAAGTGAGGCGCCTGACTCAGGATGAGTAGTGGTCTGAAACTGAGCCGGAATGAGAGATGGCCTACACAATGGTTAAGAACACAGGCTCCCAAGCCTGGGTTTCACATGCTGCTTTACCACTTATAGGCATGCGACGTACTTCCTTACTCTCCACGCCTCAGTTTCTTCATCTATAAAATGGAAATAATAATACTGCTACCTCACACAACTGTCATGAGGGTTAAGAGTCAGCTCACATTAAGCTGTGTGTCCTCAGCACACAGCAAGTGCTCAATAAATGTTAGCAATTATTATTACCATCATGATCCTTAGAAAAAGGTTAAGAACCTGCCGTTGTTCACTTAATTCAACACGTACTCAAGTGTTTTCAAAGTGTACAAGAATACACTGGACTAGGTTCTGTAGTGTATACACACACACAAACTACAGAAAATATATATATATATACAGTTACGTATTAATATTACCTTACCAATTAATTAAACTTCATAACAATTTAAAGAAATAACTGTCAGTTATACCTGTCTGACAATGGACTGGGGAGCAGGAGAGCAGAAGCACTGAGCTTATGTCACAGACTCCAGCCTACCTCCTCTGTTTACTGACTAGGTAGGGGCTGTAGCCCAGAGACACTGAGCTCCGGTTTCCTAATTCTACGTCAGGATTCGCTCCGTGATTCCACTATTCCAGAAATGGCATTCCTCACTAGGAATATAATAGAGATTTCTGAACTGATGGAGGAGGTTTGAGAGACTTGGTCCTTTCCAGGTCTAACTTTCTGTGATCCTAAAATACCCCTTTGTGGCATGTCTGCATAAAGCTATGAAAACCTACTTAAGAAAGCCACCTGACAATACTCATCCAGTCTCGTCATTTAAAAGACAACTTCCACCAGCATCCATAATAAAATATCTAGTACTTAAAGAGCCTTATAGTTTACAAAGCATCCCCACCCCATAAAATAAGTCTAAAAGGCTTCTCTCATGATTATCTCACTGGCAGGTAAGGCTCAGAGATTAGGTGAATACAAAATCACAGAGCAAATAAGTACTGCAACTCATACTAACTCTTTACACCAAACAAAATGGCCTAAAACTGACTGCTCTAATTGCACACTGCCATAAGGTGTTCCCAACAACTTGTAATGAAATCTTGTAATGAATCTAAAAAGCAAAAGCATTTAGAATAGAATAAAGTAATCCCAGTGTTCCTCTGTCTTTTCTCCTCCTAATATACCTAAAAGTATATTAGTATCAATGGCTCATTACAATAACCACAACTTCCATTTAGGTTCTTACCCAAATTATTTTTTAGGGTTTTACATGACCTAAGTCATTAATCTTTCCATAGCCCTAGTTAAGAACTATTATCCTTATTGAATAAACTGGGCACAGAGGAGCTAAGCAAGCTGTCCAAGGTCATGACAACTATTAAGTAACAAGAAAGAGAATCTAAACCTAAGCAACCTGGTCCAGAGTTTGAACTCTATCGCTGCAGTGATTTTCAGATGGGGAGCATTTTCTCTGTACCTTAAAATTCTTGTGGACAAGTTAATATATTGCAGAAAGAGGACCTGGATTTGAATATTGGTCCTGTCACTGAATACTTGTTTTGTCTCATACTGAGTGCCTTTAACTCACTTCCTTGATCCTTTAAAATTTTACTTATTAAAAAATTAGTGCCTATCTCACAGAGTAGCTATAAAAATTATATAAGATTTAAAGTCACTTTGAATTATCTGGTACTCAGTAAACAGCAGTAGACTGTACCAACATTAAAAAGTCAAGAAACATATCTGTGTATTAACGAAATAGCAGGCTGTTAACTCAAATGGTTTGCATTTTCATTCTATCCTAGATATTGTCTATTTCATAAAGTTTACTTACACAATGATGTTATTAATAGGAATATGGATCAATTTCACAAAAAAGCCAATGAATCCCATTATAGCAAATCCTATTGCAGTTGCCATGGCAATCTTCTGGAATTCTGGATTTAAAAACACAAAATTTACATTATTTTTTGCATTGTCACTGCAAGTATAGGGGGAAAAAAATTAGCACTGACATAAACTTACTGATGTACATTTCTCCTGATAAGTACATAATTTTACATAAAACATGACAGTATTAATAGTAAATACGGTATTTGACAGATTTTTTTAACTTTCATATTTTATTGATATTTAATGATATATAAAAATAAACTGCATGTTCAGGCTAGTGATTCCATCAACCAACAGTGACATATTTATCTTCCTAGCAAATGACCAGAATACCAAAAAGAAATGAAACATGGACAGAATACACAGTATCTGTCTTAAAAACTTTGTAACATTGCTAAAAGTATTAATTATAAAAGCACAGAACATAACTTTTTATAAATAATAGGTCAACTGTCTTTGATATTATAATGAAGCCAAAAATAAGGCTTGAAAAACCGAACTGGGTTGAGCACAATTTTATGTAAAGGTCTCAGACCCTGGTAATATTTCCATTTAATGTTATTTCCTCAGGGAAGCTCTCCCTGACCTCCTGACTTGGTCAGTCCTCCTATTACATGCTATCAAATATTCCTCTATTTACCTTCCATAATACTTACCATAGCAGTAATTAAAAATTGTAATTGTCATTATTTATGACTATCTTCTCTCAAAGAATCTAAGGTCCATAAAAGCAAGGACTGCTCCCTATTGTATATTTTTATATATTATGCTATATATGTATTATAATGCATCATATTATAGTCTCTATTATATTCCCACCTCCTAACTCAGGCAGCAGTCAATAAATGAATAGAAGCAGACAAATTGTGGTACACCTTTTAACACATGAATTGTGATAAATAAGAAGTTAAACTTCCTAGGTTGGCATCAACTATGCTGTTGATTTCACGTTAAGGCCTTTTTTGCTTGGGGGAGGCTTGGGGAGGGAGTGGCACCGCAGGAAGAGCTCCAAAAGGTTTTCCAGAGTAGAAATGTGAAAGATACTAAAAACTCTCAAGTCATTAAATACGACTAAGGCAAAAGCAACATGGAAAATAAGGCTGTAACAAATAACCTTATACGATGTGAAAATACACATAAGAGAAAAATTTATGAGGTGTGTAAAAAGTATACAAAATTTAGAAAAAATAACAATGTTAAAAAGCAATAAAGCAAAATAAATCAATAAAAATGCTGATGAAAGAATTGCAACAATTATTAAACAGGAAGACATTAATCAAATAAAGGGCTTAGAGAATGCAAAGATTTAATTCTTTTCTCTCATTCCAAAGCTATTTATTACCTTTTCTATCCGGTTTGGTGCATCTTTTAACCAGCCGAATTGAGTCCTTCACAAACTGCCGACTTGGCTCAACGAACTGCATTACCTGATCCATGATGCCTATTTAAAAAACAAAAAAGATACTCACTGATGTTATTTATTATAGAGCAAGGACTGTTGAGTTATATCAAAATGTGAATGAGACCAGCCTGATATGGGTGGGTCGATATCATCTCACAAAAAAAAAAAAAAAAAAAAAAACAGACTCCAAGAGTAAATTGACATTATTTTTTGCAATCTCCAGCCAATCATCAAAACAAAGGCAATAAGAAAACCGCAGGTTTTCCCGTGTTCTTATCACTGACAAAGGACGCAAGCTCTTAATATAAAAGGGCTCTCACTACGAAAAGTCTAATAAGCACTTGACAACAGATCCGCCCCTCACCCACCCTGCAGTCCTCCCGCTGCTCCTGCTGAGGAATCAACAGGGTTGGGACCCAACAAATATTTGCTATATTTTATTTTAAACTCCCCAGACCCCAGTGTCCCGTGCAGTGAATGCTGTGATGCTTCAAGGCCCTAGAGTAGAGGTAAATGTGTACTTCCATCTGACTGTTCCAAACCATGGCCACACAACATTTGAAGAAAAGAGTTTCTCTGCATGGGGCAGATCATCTGTACAATTTTCAAAACCACAAAAACTGGCTAAACCAAGACCCAGACTCTCAGAAGCTATCCGCTGAAGTCTGAACCTTTAGGTCTGGACACACCTTTTAAGGAAAAGGGCTATATGTATGTTACCGATGGGCTCTCTTGTGGAACCCGTCACACAGTAGAAATGTCATCCAACCTTGGCTCTGACAGTCACTGGTACAACAGCCAATGAAGCCGATTCGCTACTTGGACTTTACTGTATTTCAGGTGCTTACAACCGTGGCCAGGCACCCAGATACTCGATAAGCTTTTGTTGAGCTAATGCCACCCGCAAGAGGTGGTGGTTCAAATCCCTTTCTATGAAATGCAGCCTCTCTAAGCCCCGGGTTCCTCACCCAGGAACACTGAAAGGACGTCCGGAATTCTATAAACGTCCCGGGCCAGGTGTGCTGGGCCCCTGCAACACACAGGTAGTAACGCCTGTTTCCTTAGTCTTGCACTTAACTCTGTTCTGCAAATCCACTGAGCCTAAACTTTACAGATGTCGTGATAAATGCGAAGGGTCCTTTCAGGAAAAAAAAAAAAAAAAACACAAAAAAACCCGTGCAACACCCGAAACACTGCACTGAACGTCAGGGGAGGGGATCCAATAACCCACTATGGCCTCCTGATCCAGACTCTAGATCAACCCTTTCACCCTCACAGCACAGGGAGGAGCTCCCCGAGACACGCTCCACACACACGGCCCCAAAGCCAACACCGAAGAGACCCTCCGTGACCACAGCACCGAGACGGCGGAAGTGTTCCCAGCAAGTTGGCCGAGCCCGCGCGGCCGCAAAGCCGGCACCGAAGGACAGAGGCCCTGGAAGCCCTTCTCCATCGGGTACGCGGGCCGCGGCCTCGGGTCTGCTTCCCCCGACGCCGTGCGGGCAGCCGGCGGACGGCCGGCGGACTCGCCCACGTCCGCCACCTCCGCGAGTGACCAAACGGTAGCCCAGAGCCCCCGCCAGACGCAGCCTCACCTGCCCGCCGTCCGCTGGCCAAGTCCAAGACACGTAGCACAACAGCCGACACACAAAGACCGACCGGAACCGGAAACCGCCTAGTGCCCGCCCACCCCTCCGTTCATTGGCCCTTCGGGAAGACGTCGGCGCGCAGGCGCAGTCCGACGTGCGTCTCGGCCCCGCTTCCGGAACGGGCTCGGGGAGTGCGAGTCTATGGCGTCGCGGCGGCTTGGGTAGTTCCGTGGAGAGCGTGGGGAGTGGCGTGGGCCCCTGCGCGGCGTGGGCGGGGCGTGCTCCCCGCCGCTCTCCTCACCCGAACTCCCTAGCTGGGTCAACTCTGCTGGACCGGTCCGGACGACAGGCTCTGATAGGCTTCGTCTTGCGCGGTGACCTCTTGACTGCCCGTCCCTTTGTACGTATTTAATTGTAGTCGTCAACAATGAACCTTATAAGCAACATAGTGTTTTGTGACCGACCTCCCTCGAAACGGTCTCCCACCCGCAAAACCTGGCCTTCCTCTGTGTCCATCTTTGGAATTCCCCAGGAATTGAGGCCATGATCTGGGTTTGCCGTGGGGACGTGGTACAGGGTATACGTGTTATCCGACTATGGGTTTTGCTGAGACTATTATGAACCCAGACATTTGGTGCTAAATGGTGCTGTGATGTTAACGTTTTTGGAATGAATCAGTGTGTCCTCGATTATTTATCAAGCACCTAAGGTGTATAACGCTTTACTAGGTGCTATGAATGAGCCAGATACGTCATGCCCTCTTATTACGGTCTAGTAAGGGAATTTACAGGGGAGGGAAGGGAACAGACAAGAAAGCAAAATATACGTTAGTAAAAATACTGTATGGCAAATAAAAAGTGTGTTGTGAAGAGAGAAAAAAATAAAGGACGGTGGGATAAAGACAGCATTCCTTTGGATGATCACTGTAGGACTCTAAGGCCACGTCACCTGAGCTAAAGGCCTAGGGGTGAAGACTTATTTAAACACCCCAATCTGTCCAGAATTTTAAAATTCTTAAAACTAAGGCCAAGTACCCATGTGAACTTTACAATACGTATGGACCACCTGCAGTACAGTGTATGAAAACTGTTAAAAACGTAAATTCCTGACCTCTAACCCACTGAATCAGAATATTTAGTCATTTAGGGATTAGAAACCTACATTTTTTTTAAACTTAGCAGGAGCGTTTAGGTACTGAAGATCACAGCACTGAGGGTTCTAACCTCTCTCTGAACTCAGCTCTATCAGCTGCTCCTGAGTTACATTTATTCCTCTGGTACCCTTGTCATGTTCCATTGTTAGGCAGAGAGAAGAAGTATGTTTTACAGACCTCTGGGCTTTGGAAAAGTTTTTACTCTGCTTCATTCCCAACACATCCTGTAGTCAAATATTCTGTGCAATAACTATTAACAGGCTCCAGTATTTTGCCTTGACATGGGACAAAAACCCATAATCATATCATCACATATTTGGAAAACCTAGGTTCTTACCTAGAAAACAAGTGATGCCCATCACCCTGACAATATATATATTACAGCAGACCGCTGAGCTCTGTGGACGCCACATTGAACCATTATGTCCTTGATATTCAGGTGAGACTGTATTTGTATATCCACACTTGAGTAATTATAGAGTTTCTCCTTGAGTTCTGAACTTATGGATATAGATATGGAAATGCCAAATGTCATACAAGCAGAGTACAGCCTTTTACCATGGAAGGGGTGCATGGAACTATACTATTGCAACATTCTTATATTTTTCATGAAGTGGTGTAGTATTAAGACTATGTTAATAATGCAACCACTAAAGAAAAAAATTAAAAACTGCAAAGCTATATAGCTGAAAAAACAATCACGTATTAAAATGGCATTCAGAGAAATACGCAATTAACCCAAAACCCAAAAGGAGGAAGGGAGAAAAAGAAAAAACAAACAAAACAGGAGAACTAAATATAACCACATCTGTAATTTCATTACATCCAAATGTAATTTTTATGTTTAAAAACTCCCCTTAAAAAGCAGATGTCAAAGTGATTGAAAAAAAACAAAGATTTAGCTATATGCTGATTATATAAGTACACTTTAAGTATAAAGACATATAGGTTGCAAGTAAATAGATGGAAATGCAAACAATAAGAAGATGTCAGAATTTGGTACCGGGGTTTGTTTATATCAGATAATATTAGATAGTGTAGACTTTAACATAGGAATTACTGGAGATAAAAAGGAAGCATTTTCATAATGATAAAAGGTATATCAATCATAATATCTTCATCAGGAAGGTATATCAATCAAATTTGTGTGCACCTAGTAACTGAGGTTAAAAATACAGGAAACAAAAATTAACAAAAAGACCACTGTACAAACAAGTAGGGGATTTTATGTCTTCGTTCCACAACTTACAGCATTAGACAAAAAAGTAAATCAACAAAGAAATAGAAGATCTGAACAACATTGTCAACTACCCTGACCTGATTAGTCTACAAGTGGAGCACTACCCCCCAAAACTGCAAATACACATCGTTTTCAAGTGCACATGGTAACTTTACCAAGATAGAACATATACTGGGTCATAAAACAAGTCTTATATTAAAAAAGTTTCAAATCATACATTTTTTTCTGACCATTGTGGAATTAAATTAGAAATCTGTATCAACCAGATACTTAGAAAAATCTCCAGGTATTTGGAAATTAAATAACATGCTTCTAAATAAATAATTCAAAGGGTTAAAGCAGAAATCAAGAGGGAAATTAGAAAATTATTTGAACCGAATGATAATGAGAATGTAGTATATCAAACTGCAATATATCACTACACACCCTGAGAATGCTTAAAAAGGTTGACAACATCAAATCTGGGTATAAATATTAGATCAATCAGAACTGTTATCATTGTCAACAGAAGTGTAAAATGGTACCCAGCAGTTTTATAAAATTAGGTGTATACCACTCTATAATCCCTCAATTTCAATTTTAGGTATTTACTGAAGTGATATGAAAATATATTCACCAAAAGACTTGTACAAAGATATAGCCAAAAAACTAAAAGTGAGTCAGGTCCATCAACAAAGAATGGATGAACAAAAAGATGTATTTCCACAATGAAATACTATTCCACAATTAAGGGAAAAAATATATATATATATTTATGTAACACCATTGATTAATATCAGAAACATTGTGGTGAGTGAAAGAAGTCTATGCAAAAGACTGCATACTGTAAATAATATTTGTAAGAAGTTCCAGACAAGGCAAAATTAATATATGTTGAAAACAGTGTTTGGGCATAGGGATTAAGACGGAGGATGAGAGAACTCAGGCGTGAAAATAATGTAACTTGACAAGGATTAGGGTTACACAGGAGTCTTAGTTCAGACTGCTGTAATAAAATACCATCAACTGGATGGCTTAAACAGTAAACAATTATTTCTCACAGTTCTGGAAGATAGAACTTCCAGATCAGGGTGCCAGCGTGGTTGGGTTCTTAGTAGAGAGTGTGGTCCCAGTTTACAGAGGGCTGTCTTCATGGCATCTGCACATGGATGCTAATCCCACCATGGGGGCTCCACCCTCATCCCCTGATTACTTCCCAAAGTCCCTACCTCCAAGCACCATCACATTAGCACTTCAGCAAATGAATGTGGGGCGTACAGACATTCAGTCATGGCAGCAGGTGTGTGCATTTCTCACACGGCATCAAAAGGTACTCATAAGGTCTGTATTCTACTTCATGTAAAGTTTACCTCAAAAAATAAAACACCGTACACAAACACTGAACTCTCGCTCTAGTTAAATGATATAACCACTGACAGGAGTGAAGTGTACAGGTACAAGTATACAGTCATTGAAAGATTCTTAGGTGTAGTAGTATGGGTATTCACTGAACAATTCAACTTTTACGTATGTTTGAATTTTTTCATAATGTGGAAAAGATCTATATGCACATGATGAAGTCAAGTTTTTAAAATTTTGTTTTGACATAAATAATGTCGACTATAAATTGTAAGTATACATAGTAGAAATTTTAAATTGCCCCTCAATTTAAAAATATCAGTGAAATATTGATAGTGTTATTTGAGATAAGCTGAATTAATGCTCCATTTAGATTCCTGAATCTCTGCTTGAACTAAGAAAGTTTAAAAACCCTTGTATAGATACAGGATTTTTTTAAAAAACGCCAAGTTTAAATAATACACCCTCCAAGTAGGTTAAGTAATATTTTACCCAGAGTTCTAGTCTTTTGTTCCTTAAAGTAGAAAAATATAATCTTTAATTGAAAATGGGGTATATGATTTTTTTTTTACATTTATTTTACTAACAAGCAAGATCTCTGTGCTTCTCTGAAAGAGAGTTAAAAATTATACCTCTAGGGCTTCCCTGGTGGCGCTCCGCCTGCTGATGTGGGGGACACGGGTTCGTGCCCCGGTCTGGGAAGATCCCACATGCCGCAGAGCGGCTGTGCCCGTGAGCCATGGCCGCTGAGCCTGCGCGTCCAGAGCCTGTGCTCCACAACAGGAGAGGCCACAACTGTGAGAGGCCCGCGTACCGCAAAAAAAAAAAAATTGTACCTCTATATCTTCTTTCTATAGGTTTTCAAAATGGGTACAGGTGTACCTCGGAGATATTGTGGGTTCAATTCCAGACCAGTGCTATAAAGCAAATATCACAATAAAGCAAGTCATATGAATTTTTTGGTTTCCCAGTGCATATAAAAGTTATGTTCATACTATAGTATAGTCTGTTGTGTGCAGTAACATTATGCTTAAAAATTGTACATTACTTAAAAAATATTTTATTGCTAAAAAGCGCTAATCATCATCTGAGTTTTCAGTGAGTTGTCATCTTTGTGCTGGTGGAGGGTCTTGCCTGGATGTTGGTGGCTGCTGACTGATCAGGGTGGTGGATGCTGAAAGCTGGGGTGGCCGTGGCCATTTCTCTGTAAAGACAGCAATTAAGTTTGGCACATGAATTGACTCTTCCTTTCACTTGAACACTTAGAGTCTGTTAATCAGCCCAATTTCAATATTGTTGTGTCTCAGGGAATAGAGAGGCCTGAGGAGAGGGAGAGAGATGGGGAACAGCTGGTCAGTGGAGCAGTCAGGACACACACAACATTTATAAAGTTCTCTGTCTTACATGAGTGTGGTTTGTGGTGCCCCAAAACAATTACAATAGTAACATCAAAGATCACTGGTCTCAGATTCTTATAACAAATATAAAAATAATGAAAAAGTTTGAAATATCATGAGAATTATCAAACTGTGTTACAGAGACAGGAAGTGAGCAAATGCTGTTGGAAAAATGGTGCCAGTAGACTTGCCCAACACATGGGTGCCACAAATCTTCAATTTGTAGAAGTGCGGTATCTGCGAAGCACAGTAAAGTGAAGTGCAATAAAATG